GTTATTCCAATACCGCATTGCAATAAGCTTGTTATTTGGACATTGTTAAAGAAAAATTAAAAGAAATTTTAAAAACTTTAGTTGTGAAGGGGTTAAACTGCTGTGTTCTGAAAGAGTTGATATTTGCACAGAGAGCCCAGAGGAAGGTGGACTGGATGTCTGAAAGTGGACCTCCCGAAATGCAGTAAGTGTAGATATGCAGATTGTGTACATATGTGTATTTCTCTGTGTAAATCAGTTGTGTGTGTTTGGCACTTTTTAATCTCAGTACAACTTTTAACTAGAACTAGAAACCACTGAGTCCTGGTTCACAAGTTAGCTGCCCCCCATATGTTTTATCCACACCCAGCCTTTCCATGTGTCTCATTCTCCCCCCCAGCTCCTCCATGTGTCTCACCCCAACATCCCCTCCATGTATCTCATTCTCCCCCCTCCAGCTCCCCCCCCGCTCAGCTCATCCATAGTGTCTCATTCTCCACCCCAGCTCCTCCATGTGTCTTATTCCCCAGCAGCCTCTCCATATTCCTCATCCCCTTCAGCCCCTCCATGTGTCTCCACGTGTCTCTTTTTCCCTATCCACCCCATACATGTGTCTCATACTATTCCCCCAGCTCCTCTGTCTCTCATCCCCTCCAGACCCTTTATGTGTCTCAATCTGGCTCCTCCATGTATCTCATTCTCCTCCCCAATTCTTCCATGTCTCTCATCCTCCCCAGACCCTCCATGTGTCTCAATTCCCTCTCAGTCCCTCCATGTATCTCATTCCCCCTTTCCATGTGTCTAATTCTCATGCCAACTTACCCCTGTGTCTCATACCTCCAGCTCCTCTATGAGTCCCACTCTCCCCCATGTGTCACATTCCCCCTTCCATGTAACAATTCCCCCAATCCCTTCCATGTGTCTCAATTCCCCCCTAAGTCCCTACCATGTGTCTCAACTGTCTCGTATCACCTTATTAGATCTTTCTTCCCTTGTATTGCGCCTTCCATAACACACATCTTCAACTGCTCTCTCTCTTCTGACATTGTCCCTGCTAACCTTAAACATGCCTCTAGTACCTACCTATCCTGAAAAAAACTATCTCTTGACCGTCTTCCCCCTCTAACTATCGTCCCATATCCCTGCTCCCTTTCTCCTTAAAGCTTCTGGAAAGACTTTTCTTTACCTGTATGTCTCACTTCCTCAATTCCAACTCTCTCCTTGACCCTCTTTAATCTGGCTTCCAGCCTCTTCACTCTACTGAGACTGCTCTTATCAAAGTAACTAATGACCTAATAGCAGCTAAATCCAAAGGCCACTACTCCATACTAATTCTTCTTTGACACCGTTGATCATGCTTTCCTTCTTCAGACTCTTCAATCACTCGGTCTCTGTGACTCTGTCCTCTCATGGTTTTCCTCTTATCTCTTACAACGCTCATTCAGCATCTCCTTTTCTTTTTTTTTTAATTCTTTATTTTTGGTTTGTTGTTGCAGCACATGTGCTAACCATAAAAACATTACATGCATTTGTTGGACAACAATATAAATACAGGTTGGGAGTTGTCATATGTCTCCCATTGCTTTGGTAATTACCGTATATACTCGAGTATAAGTCGACCCGAATATAAGTCGAGACCCCTAATTTTACCCCCAAAAACTGGGAAAACGTATTGACTCGAGTATAAGACTAGGGTGGGAAATGCAGCAGCTACTGGTAAATTTCTAAATAAAATTAGATCCTAAAAAAATTATATTAATTGAATATTTACAGTGTGTGTATATAATGAATGCAGTGTGTGTGTGTGTGTGTGTGTATGAATGCAGTGTGTGTATGAATGCAGTGTGTGTGTATGAATGCAGTGTGTGTGTGTGTGTATGAGTGCAGTGTGTGTGTATGAATGCAGTGTGTGTGTGTGTGTATGAGTGCAGTGTGTGTGTATGAATGCAGTGTGTGTATGTGTATGTGATGCAGAGCCTTGGTGGGGGGTGGGCATTTTTATTATTTTTTTATATTATTATTATTATTTTAATATACATTTTTTATATTATTAATATTTTTATGTTATTTTGTATTATTTAAATTTGTATGTTATTTTTTTTCGTCCCCCCTCCGTGCTTAATACCTGGCCAGGGAGGGGGGCTCTCATTCCCTGGTGGTCCAGTGGTGTGCACTGTGTAGGAGAGGGCTGGCAGGAAGCGTTTTACTTACCTTTCCTGCAGCTCCTGTCAGCTCCCTTATCTCTCCTCCGGTCCGGTAAGCTCCCCTGTCAGCTCCACTGCCGCGCGGAGCATTGCCACGGTAACCCGTGGCAACGCTCTGACCCCGCGGCTCTCGCGAGACTTGCAGGGGAGCTGACAGGGGAGCTGTCCGGACCGGAGGAGAGAGAAGGGAGCTGACAGGAGCTACAGGAAAGGTAAGTAAACGCTTCCTGCGAGCCCCCAACAGGACCGCCGGGCTTGTAATGGTCCTTGTCTGTATTATGGCAATGTAAGTTGCCATAATACAGACACTCATTCGAGTATAAGACGAGTGGGGGTTTTTCAGCACAAAAAATGTGCCGAAAAACTCGTCATATACTCGTGTATATACGGTATTACTGGTAGGCCTCCTTGCTGTTTTTCATGGTTGTCAGCGTCTCCTTTTCTAATGATACGTCCTCCCCTCGTCCTGTCTCGTTTGGAGTCCCCCAAGGTTCTGCCCTTGGTCCCCTTCTATTTTCTCTTAATACTGCCTCCCTTGGCACACTTATTACCCCTTTCGGATTCCACTACCACCTGTACGCTGATGACACCCAGACATATCTCTCCTCCATGGACCTCTCCCCGTGCCATCCTGCAACGTGTCACTACTTGCCTTTCTTCCATCTTAGACTGGATGTCCTCCCGCTTTCTGAAACTCAATCTCTCTAAAACTGAACTCCTTGTCTTTCCTCCTCCTAATACTGATCCTCCTCTTTCGTTCTCCCTTCAAATTAATGGTATCCACATAAGTCCATCCTTGCAAGCGTGCTGTCTTGGTGTCATACTTGATTCTGGCCTCACCTTTGAGCCTCACATCCAGTATGTTGCAAAATCCTGCAGATTCCATCTTAAAAACATAGCACGCTTCCACCCCTTTCTTACGCAATATCCTACCAAGGAGCTTGTCCCGCATGGATTATTATAACCCTCTCCTAATTGGTCTTCCCAAAAGCCGTATTGCCCTGCTACAGTCTGTAATGAGTCCTGCTGCCAGACTGATTTTACTCTCTAGTCGGTCCTATCACACCTCGCCCCTCTGTCGATCCTTACACTGGCTTCCTGTATCCTATAGGTGTCAATTCAAAATACTAACCCTTACCTATAAAGCTCTAGCCCCTCTTACATTTCTTCCCTTATTTATAGATATGCCCCTTCTTGTTCTCTCCGCTCTGCCAGTGACCTTCTCCTGTCCGCTGCTTGCACCCATACAGCCAACTCACGCTTGCAGGATTTCTCGCGGCGGCTCCCTTCCTATGGAATAGCCTACCTACCGCTATCAGACTCTCCCCTAGTCTTCAATTGTTTAAGAAGTGCCTTAAAACACATCTCTTTAGGAAAGCTTATGGCCTCCCAGAGTAACCTCTACCTTACATACCTGTCTCTTGCTCTCTCCTAAAGAGCAGCACTCTACTCTCTCCTCCAGCTCTGCTTCACTCCCACCTTATTTGATTGCTATTTCCTGTCCTTATGTGTTTTATACACCACTTCCTGTAGACTGTAAGCTTGTTTGAGCAGGGTCCTCTTCAACCTATCGTTCCTTTAAGTTTTCTTATAATTGTCCTATTTATAGTTAAATCCCCCCTCTCATAATATTGTAAAGCGCTACGGAATCTATTGGCGCTAAATTAATGGCAATAATAATAACTCCCCCCCTTCAGTCCCTTCCATGTATCTCAACTCCCCCTTTCCCTTTCATGTGTCTTAATTCCCCCCACTCTCTTCCATGTGTATCAAGGAATAGGTACAATGAATGTTGCATATTTTATATCACACTGCCAATCAATATAAGTTTGCAATATCAGCAGCCCATGTAACAAGTCAAGGTATACCAGTCGGTAAATAACCATAAGAATGCCGCCTCATGCAGAGAATTCCATTGACTCGCCCTCCAGGTCTTAAATACTCCTCTCTCTGGGACGTTTCAGTAGTTTTTCATTTTTTGCAGACCTAGCCTGAGAATGAACACCTCTCACTCTATCCACTAAGCTCATATTTTATTGTTATTATTGTTTATTGTTCTTGTGCTTGATCTCTTTCAACATAGATGGTTTACCCTTTACCACAGATGGCATCATGTTTTCGATTTCATGTTAGACTAAAACCAATACTTTTCCTATTTTTTTTACCCATTTTATTTCCACAAGCTCTCAAGATTTGCATTGTCAGTGCCCTCCATTGTTACACAGATCTTACTTCTCCAGTGCGTTTCTTTCAGACTCCTTATCTGCAGATCCCACTTTTGGTGCACATTCTTTCAAGGGTTTGGATGCCTCCTCGGCTTTCTCCTCTTTGATATACTTCACTCTGAAGCTTGGTCTCAACAGGACACCTTCTGAACTTTTACATTTTGTTCTGTTCCTCATGCTGCCTCTTCTGTCACAGTTTTAAAACTGCAAATATGAGCCTCCAGTCATGTCATAGAATTGTAGTTTATGCTAGCTTTTAGTGAAAAAATAATCTTAATTTTAATAATGACTGGAAGCAAATATTTCCCACTCTTTTTATGAGTCCCTCTTTCTTATGAAGGTTTTTATTTCTACATGTCAATTATAGTTTTCATTCATGATTTACTCAAACTCATATATTTATTTACCAATGTTATACTGTTACCGGAGGAATAACAGGAACAAACCGCAGAAGCCACACATAGAGATATGGACACAAGTCTTCAGGAAGTAACAGGTCTTTTATTTACACACCGATCGGGTCTCAGATGAACTCCTGTTCCAAAAATATCTGAGAGGCAGAAAGCATGGTGCAGAGTATACAGTATAACCCCTCCAATTTCCTCAGACCAATCAGCACACAGGATATTCAGGATCACCTTATATGGACAGACCACATGGCATTTACAGACAAAGGAATGTACTATCCACTTCCACACATGCTCAGTATACTGATGACTCATCCAACGGTTTGTAATCAGATACTAATTAGCATATGTGTGTAATTGATAGGATATTTTGGGATACTGCTAGTATACCTATAATAGAGAACAAAACATAGTGCAAATATTGCTAAATATTATAAAACTTCCAATGATTGAAATGCACTCACATATTCCAAAAAAGATAAGCGTATTATGGGTGCCTCCCCTCGATGGAAATAGGGGGGTTAACTCCTATTGATTTCTCCTCCTCAATAGCCAATGGAGTATCCAAGTCAGCAAAAACGGTCCACAAACAGCAACCACAGGAATACTTCAAGGCAATTTATTCACTTACAAAAATTAAGAAGGTGTGCAAATAAAATATAAAAACAATATAAAAATGAGATGTTGGTCCTACGCGTTTCGTCCTTATACAAAAAGGACTTCCTCAGGGACCATCTATTTCAATAAAATATCAAATATCAATTGACAAATGCACAGAGTAAACAGCATCCTAAAACGCAAATCAAAAGATCTTATATAGGGCTAATCCCTTCAAGTCATTGGTGGAATAGTGGGTGTCTTCTTATCTTCCAATTCTAATTCGTCTAAATTTTCTCTCCCCAGGTGTAGCCGCTTTACCGGAATGAAATGCCGGGTCCGTTCAACACATTTAGCCACTTCCGCGTATGTCATACGTTGCGCGTGCGTCAAGTGGTAAAATGTTCGTCACATGACCTTTATGCGTTCCACGCTCAGAAGAAAAACATGGCCGTGCGTTCCATAGCATAATAGACTGAAAAGTCAATTTTCTTATACCTGGTGGTGACATGCGAACAACTAGAAATAAAAGACTATTAAAGATCATATTATAGTCCCATAAAAATCATGGCAACAATAAAATGTCCTCTAACAAATAGCTAACTCAAAACATAATTAAAATGAATGAAAAACAACTCCCTATCTAAGTTGATCATTCATTATATCTATTATAGCTTGTACAGAAAAAATATGTGATTATTAATAACTTCATATATTAACAGTGATATAGTGATATATTAGTATAACAACTAAACCATTAGGATAAATTAAACAACTATATCTAAATTACAGATCCATAATGTGTAAAGTGACATGAATATTTATTCATATATTCAATTACATATCCATATTGTATAAAGAGGCATAAGTGATTATACACTCCATATTCCTTCACTCTAATAAAGTGATACTACTTTTTTTTTTTTTATATAATAGTGATATCTTATCATTCAATTAATTCAAAAAACAAACAATATCCATATCCACATTTAACCCCCTTGGGGTAAGGGTGCGTAATCTGTGAATCCAGTATGATTCCCTTTGTGCCAATCGTTTTTCTTTATTACCCCCTCTCCAATGAGGTTGAATTTGCTCTATCCCTATACAACGCAAACCCTTTAGACGAAACAATGGACAACTATTGCAATGGAGAGGAACTGAATGGGTATCCAATTTTTTCTTTATATTATTAATATGTTCCAAAAGTCTCACTTTTAAACATCTCTTTGTACGGCCAACATATTGGCTGCCGCATGGACACTGAAGTAGATACACCAGGCAGTCTGAGCGGCAGCCAATCTCTGATTTAATAGAAAACTGTTTTCCTGTAACAAAACTGCTGTATGATGTAACTTTATCCGTATTTACTTGTGAACAAGCTTTGCAACTTTTACAACCTCTAAAGCCCTTTGGCCCTTTTTTAGTGTTTTTAGATCCATTTCTTAAGGCATAGCTTGGTGCTAATAGGTTCTTAAGATTTTGTTTTTTTCTAAAAATAATCTTTGGCCTTTTGGATAGATGTTCTCCCAAAATGGGATCCCCCAGTAGTATTGGCCAGTACTTATACAAACTCCTTTTTATTTTTGGATGGTCCACATTATATTGTGTAAAAAAAGCTTGTTTGAAATCTTCCCCCTTTTTCCTACTACCAGAACCGTCAATAAGAAGGTCATTTCTGCTCTTTTTAGACATCGCCTGAATTTCTCTCTTTATATGTTTTTGGTTGTAGCCTTTTTTAACTAATTTATCGGCTATATGTTGCGCCTGTATCTGAAAATCCTTGGTGTGCAAACAATTTCTTCTTACTCGAGTAAGTTGTCCCTTGGTGATTCCCTTCAACCAAGGTTGATGGTGACAACTACGTTTATGAACATAGCTGTTCCCATCAGTTGGTTTGAAGAAGCACTTGGATTTTATTTCATTTCCCTCACAAAATAAAGTGAGATCTAAGAAATTGATTTCTCTACGGTCCCATACTGGAGAAAATTTTAAATTATAATCATTCCGATTAAGATGTTGAACAAAAGTACTAAATTCAGAATCCGACCCCTTCCAAATAATAATAACAAGTGTGTTTTTCACACTTTTTTCACGGGTGTCCGTGTTTTCTACTAATTAGCATATGCCATGTGGAGATTTCGGCCTACTAAATTTTGACCATGCTGGAATCCCATCACATTCCCCCCTTTGATGCCTCTGATACAAAGTTATACAAGATGCATCACTAACCATAATTTGCCAACACCACTCTAGTAACCATGAACCACTACAGACCTTGTAATCTTTCTAACTGAACTTCGTGCTCTCTCAACATTCCTCATCCTGATTATTCTCTCTCTGGGCTAGGGGTTCATACTTCCAGACAGCCATTATTTACACAGACTGATTGCTAAACACATTTAAAGAGAGGGACATTAGAATTGGAAAGTGGAACAGATTGATATGGGCCCTAAACAGGGACAATTGGGAGGTATTTACTAGAAACATCCACAAAAATAGAAAAACCTGTTTTTGGATGTTAAATGTTTGGATGTTGCCTAGTTTAACTGCACCACAGCAATAATAATTTCAATTAAAGGACCACTATCGTGCCAAGAAAACAAACTTGTTTTCTTTGCACTATGTAGTCCTTAGGTGCCCCCCACCCTCATGGCCCCCCTCCCGCTGGGCTGAAGGGGTTAAAACGCTGGACCGCTGGGGAACTCTCCTCTTCCTGATGATGTCAGCGGGCATTCAAACAGTCCATAGAAAGCATTACTCAATGCTTTCCTATGGACGTCACCGTCTTCTCACTGTGATTTTCACAGTGAGAATCACGGAAGAGGCCTCTAATGGCTGTCAGTGAGACAGCCACTAGAGGCTGGATTAACCCTCAGTGTAAAAATAGCAGTTTCTCTGAAACTGCTATGTTTTAGCTGCAGGGTTAAAACTAGAGGTACCTGGCACCCAGACCACTTCATTAAGCTGAAGTGGTCTGGGTGCCTATAGTGGTCCTTTAACTGCTGTCTTGTGTGTTATATAATTCCATGTATCCTCTGTTGTTTGCCTGAGTGACAATACCTCCACTTGCTGCATGATGGGATTTATTAACTCCAATGTTAATCTGATCGACCAGGTGTAATTATTTAACAGGTAGGCATCTGATAAATGGCTCCTATCCCTTTTTTGTAGGTGGCTAAATGAAGGGTAATATAATTACAGAGTTAGGGAGCAGTCAAGCTCTTAAGTCCAATGCTCACCCAACCAACCAATGGCCAGCTCGTAATTTCCATTAGCCATACTTGTAAATATCATAGGCATTTTCTTTTCTGACTTCTCGGCATTATTTAGTTTATAAGTTTCAAGCATTTGTAAATACAAACATATATAAAGATTAGTTGTGCACATGTGAAATGCCAACACGTAGAAAAATGCAATATATATAATGAAAATAAAAATGTAATCAAATAAGTAGTTGGGGGAGAATATTGAAATGATTGTCCGGGGTTGCTGTATCTCTAGTGTAGAGGGTAACTTGCAGGCATCTCATTTCTCGACTGCCCTTCTGGGTGGGATCAGTCTGATATGCAAATAGTATAGGTTCTCTTCGTGATGGCATTACCTACTGAGTTATTCTAAGCTTTTGTCTGTTCTCACAGTTCTTATATTCTCTGTTTTTGTTATATTAAAACCACTTGCCTAATGCCATGAAGGTACTCCTCGTGCTGCCAAAACAACTCTGATGCTTTGAGGCCTGGACTCCACAAGACCTCTGCACATGTTCTGTTGTATCTGCCACCAAGACATTAGCAGCATCTTCTTTAAGTCCTGCAGGTTGTGAGGTGGGGCCTCCATGGGTCGGATTTGTTGTTTCAGCAATTTGAGCTACAGTATGTCTTCTGTGTGATTGGACCAGACCGGCTAGCATACACTCCTCACATGCATCAATGAGCCATGGGCGCCCATGTTCCTAATGTCGGTTCATGTCTTTCCTCGCACTACTTTTGGTAGGTACAAACCACGGAATAATGGGAACACCCCACAAGACTTCTGTTTTGGAGATGTACTACAGTTGTCTAGCCATCACTACTTGGCCATTGTCAAGAGTCACTCAGATATTTCCGCTTTCGCATTCTTAGTGCATCCAAAACATGAAATTTAAGGACTGACTGTCTACTTGCTACCTAATATATCCCACCCCTTGATAGGTGTCATTGAAATAATATAATCAATGTTATTCTTTGCACTTGCCAGGGTTTTAATGTTGTGGCTGGCCAGTGTATACACAATGGAGAACATGATAGCAGCCCCGAATGGTACCTCTGACAAAAGTGCACAGACATGGACAACGTATCTCATTGTTCTGCAAATGATGGCTCAGACAGTTAGTTTACCCTTAACAGTTGGGTTCCAATTGGTCACCCTGCCCAAAAGTAGTGTTATTGTCAGCCCTCTTCCCTCCTTTTTCCCTTCTCCGCTCCTCCCTTCTACCCCCATTTTATTTCCTTGTAGTTGATCAACTTTTACACACCCTCCTGTGGATCTTAGTTTATCTGATCTGATTAGAATTGCAATGTCTGATAATTATCTGATGTCAATGCTCAGCTAGCATAAACATATATATGTGTAAATATACCAAAGCAGAATTTCATTATTTGTGAATTTTCAGATTTTTTTTTCTTTCACATAACCTAAATCTAAAACAAAGAATTTTCTCCTGCAAAATGAATAATTTAAAGATGGATAAATGTTTATTGATTATTTTCAGTTCATATTTTTACGTGTATTATTTGCAATGTATGTTATACTGCAGCAATTCTCCTAGTTTTGTTCCTGCTAAACACTCTTCAAATTTTGCATCCATTTGCTGGTTCTGATCTTCTGAGAAGTATTGTTTCCAGTCTCCCACATCACCTAAAAATAACGTAGCAGATTTAACAACAAAGGCCCCTTTTCAAAACACAAAGGCTATATTAGCCCTGTAGTCAACGGAGAGATACATTTCATAACTGTTTAAAGTGACACTCCACCTAGAACTGAACTTGCTTAAGCATCTGTCCTTACTATGTTCCACCAGGTACATTCATGAGCTATTGCAACAACTTGGTACCTCAGTGTTCCTCGCCTGGAGGCCTGAACATCCTCAGTGGTATCTCACAACCACTTGAAGTAGTACTAAAAATCTCTACCAACCTCATACCCAAACACTATAACAAGGCTTAATGAAGCAATTAAACCACTCATTTATTTAACAAGAGACAGGATATTTATAGAGCCCTGGAGCTAGTATTTTGTGGCTGTGCTAATTAGCTGAGTCAGCTGCTATGTGTTTACAAAGGGTGTAGCCTTAGAGTAGGGCGTCATTGTGTTTTGCTTCTAACTGAAATCATTCTATAATGGGTAGTGATAACCAAGGATATTGTAATTTCATTATGGTACGTAAAAGTTGATGTTTCACTTTCCACTATATATGTGTATTTTTAGGCTGAGGAATATATCCTCGGATGGATCATCTAGTCCAGATGAGCCTCCATGCCAGGTGATAGACATGTGCAGTTCGTTTCGGGCCGAATATAAATTTGGACGAATTTCGGAAAATTCGGACATTCGGGTACTTCCAAATGTCCGAATAGCTGAACTTCCGAATTGCCGAATTACCGAGGTCCCGAAGTTCCGAAACTACCGAATTTCCGAAGTGCCAAAGTGCCAAAGTTCCAAAGTGCTGAAGTGCTGAATTGCCGAAGCTCTGAAGCACAGTATTGCCTAAGTGATAATATACTTACCCAGTGGAAGAAGAAGAATGTTACAAACATAGCCAGGATTCAGCTGTAAGCATTTGCAACACTTACAACAATCAAGTAACATACATTCATATAAATGTAAGTTACTTGGCCAGTCAATGTAATGACAGGAATGAATAAGTAAATAACTCCCTAATTCCCACAGTATTAGGGAGCTATCTACTAAAAGGCTGAAAGACCTAAATTGGTCTTTCAGACAAATTTACTAATACTAAGTAAAGATTACTTAGTATTAGTAAATTATGCCCCTACTCGCTATACCAGACTGTGGCTGCTCACTGTAAAAAAGAACAAAAAAAAAGTCCCCCCTCCCCCTCCTAACCTGAAGGGGGGACCTATTCCCCCCCGGCCCCCACCCCTGAGCGGCGTGGGGGCCCTAAAGTAAAATAAGGGGGGGACCTATTGTATCCCCATGGACCCCAACCCTGAGCATTGGGTGGGGCCCTAAATACTAATTGGGGGGGACCTGGGGGGGACCTAATGAGTTCTTAATGTGGGGACCTAATGTCTCCCCATGGATCCCAACCCTGAGCGGTGGGTGGGGGCCCTAAATACTAATTGGGGGGGACCTAATGTCCTCCCCCCTGGCACCCACCCCTGAGCTGTGGGTGGGGGCCGTAAATTAGAATGAGGGGGGAGGACTTAATGTCCTCCCCGTGGCCCCCACCCCTGAGTGGTGGGTGGTGGCCCTAAAATACTAACTGGGGGGACCTAATGTCCTCCCCCCTGGCCCCCACCCCTGAGTGGTGGGTGGGGGCCCTAAAATACTAATGGGGGGGACCTAATGTCCTCCCCCGTGGCCCCCACCCCTGAGCGGGGGGTGGGGGCCCTAAATTAGAATGAGGGGGGAGGATCTAATGTCCTCTCCCCTGGCCACCACCCCTGAGTGGTGGGTTGGGGCCCTAAAATACTAATTAGGGGAGACACCTAATGTCCTCCCCCTGGCCCCCACCCCTGAGCGGTGGGTAGGGGCCCTAAAATACTAATTGGGGGGGACCTAATGTCCTCCCCCCTGTCCCCCACCAATCAAAGTGTTATGAGTCAAATTACACAGCGTGGGAAAATTCCAAAAACTTTTCCACGCTGTGTAAAATGACACAGAGCACTCTGATTGGTGGATTTTAAACCAACCAATCAGAGTTCTGTGACAGGTAAATGTAGAGACTTACCTGTCAGTCTCTTCATTTACCTGTCAGAGCACTCTGATTGGATGGCTTAAACCCACCAATCAGAGTGCCCTGAGCCTAATTGCAGGGCGGGGCAAGGCTTTATAAGCCCCCCCCACCCCCGCCCTGCAGAGCTCAGTCTGCGTGGAGCCATCCATGGGTGAAGATGGATTATTATTTTTTGCGCTCTTTTTTTTTTTTTTTTTAAGTGCGTCGGTTATTATGGCTTTTTATTTGGCTTTTTTTGGGTCTGAAAAAAGAAGATTTTAGAAGAAAGAAAACATAAAATGGTAAGTTTTATTTTTTTTTCAGGTACTTAGTTAAATGGCCCCCCTCATTATTTTTAGGGTGAGGGGGGTAGGTAGGGGTTAATTTTTTTGGGGAGGGGGTGACTAGGGATTTGGGGACCCCTAGTCACCCAGGGAAGAGGGGGTAATTTTTTTTATTTAGAGCCCCCACCCACCACTCAGGGGTGGCGGCCAGGGGGGAGGACATTAGGTCCACCCCCTTAATTAGTATTTAGGGCCCTTAATTAGTATTTAGGGCCCGCACCCACCGCTCAGGGTGGGGGCCAGGGGGGAGGACATTAGGTCCCCCCCTAATTAGTATTTTAGGGCCCCCACCCACCGCTCAGGGGTGGTGGCCAGGGGGGAGGACATTAGGTCCCCCCCCTCATTCTAATTTAGGGCCCCCACCCACCTCTCAGGGGTGGGGGCCGGGGGGAGGACAATAGGTCTCCCCCATTATTTTACTTTAGGGCCCCCACCCGCTGCTCAGGGGTGGGGGCCAGGGGGAGAACATTAGGTCCCCCCCTATTTAGTTTTTAGGGCCCCCACCCACCGCTCAGGGGTGGGGGCCAGGGGTGAGAACATTAGGTCCCCCCTTATTTAGTTTTTAATGTCCTCCCACCTTGCTCAGGGGTGGGGGCAAGGTGGGAGGACATTAGGTCCCCCCCAATTAGTTTTTAGGGCCCCA